GAGAAAAAGGGCTTCAGGAATGCATAACTGTGTGCATCTGTGTGTATGATTTATATATAGGTGGATTAAATATTCAAAAGGCAAATAAATGGCACGAGGGATAAAATCCTTGGGAACATTTTTTGGTTCCTATTTAAATAGGAGAGCCAGTTCAAAGTAAGAAATGCAGAGTGTCCAGCTGCTTAAACTTTTTCAGTGTTACCTCTTAATCATCATACTGCCTAGCCTAGATGTATTTCAGCCTGTAAACTGGGAAGTGATTATAGATCACAAAAGGTCTTTACTCTTTAATGACAGATGTTATGTAAATACAAACTATTATTCAAGTAGAATATGTAAGTTTTGGGATCCAAAAATGGAAGCCAGCTGACAGCCTCCAACAATGGAGATGCAGAACCCAGCTGTGTGCAGCCGAATCCCCCAGACAGCAGCAGTCCATAAAGGGGCCTTAGGGGAAAAGGAGCAAACAAAACAAAATGGTCCCTAGACCCAAATACATTAGAAGAAATAAGGGACAGATTTCTTCTCTCCCTACATAGCAGCTATTGATGCTTTTAATTTAAAAGCACGTATAAAACAAAAGAAAGTATAGGTGGGGAAAGCTGGAAGCTAAATAGTTTAATGATACTGCTGCCTATGCGTGAAGAGCTAAGTGATTTAATAATTAAGTTCCAGTGGCACTATCCAATGTCTGGTTTTTAAGTATACTTGTAATTTAAGCCATTGAATGTCATTTAAGTAAAAATTTTTTATCAGTTTAGGCGTAAGAGTGATCTCAATAGAAATTGGTTTACCTAGTCTCATGTATGTTCTCTTAAGAAGTTATGTACTGTTTGCCTTCATACCTATGAGAGAAAAGATCTGTAAAAGAGCGCTGTGACCTTTGTTAGGCTAAAGGCCTATAAATATTTTATGTTCTTTACTGCAAAAATTTGTAGATCCATAAGTGTAGAAAATATTTTCTGTCCCAGAGACCCGTTGGCTCAAGGAACTGGTCTTGTTAGGGGCTATTTCCAATCCAGCCGCATCGTAATTGTTTGACCATTTGACCTAAGTGTATTGTATCTTAGGGAGATTATGTCCCTGGCAGTAGAGACCCAGTAAAAAAAAATTGCTAACGTGGATACTATCTGAGCCATTGTTGTTTGCCTCAGAAAGGCTAATGATTGTACAAGCATTAAAGTCTATCTTCCGCTCCCTAGATAGTTCCCTGTAGTGGGGGCTCCAGCACTTTGGTGAGTAGTTTGTGTTACTGCTGCTTTGCAGGCAAGCGTATGTGACTTCGTTTTTCTGTGCCACCAGCCTGGCATCTGTCAGAAACATGAAGTTTAAATCAAAGAATGCGGAAAGTTCCAACAACAGCTTATTTATCTGGCCCTTAACACTTCTGAGTTGTGTAATATAGAGATAGCCATCCAAACTAGCAATTGTATGGATGACCAGTATCCTGGCAGCTTAAGAATGCATCACTTGTGCAGAGAGGGCGGATACAAAATTTGAAAAGTTTTAAATTTGCTGTGGTATTTTCTTTAGTCATGAGTATGACTAAAGAAACCCTCTAGAATGAAATCATTTCCTTCCGTGCCCAAGGGAAGTTTTGTGACAGCTTTTTGGAGGTTTTCTGTTTCAGCATTCAGCTTACAAAGAATATGTTGGCACTACTAGAAATTCACTTCTCTTCAGCCTCTTAGAAGGTTTAACTATGTAAAGCTCAGCTGAGTTAGCAACCAAAGCATTTCTTAATTAACAGCTGCGAGCAAGGAAATAAATTATGCTGAGGCACTAACTAAATTATTAATTTTATAAAAATACATTATACTGAGGCACTAGGAGGACTTTTAATGTATATAAACTCTACTTTTGGAGCTAAAGAACAGGACATATATGTCTTTTAGAACAGCATATTTAAAGAACAGCATTTCTAAATGCCAGGGAAAGTAAAAGTCATCCCCCAGCTTTGCATCATGTAGCACATTTAAGTAATGATAACTGTGTTGTGCTGTGGACAAGCAGAAAGTTTTGCTAATTTACCTAAAACATGACTCAGCATGGAGCACCCAGTCAACACAATTTAGTTTACTGGACAGCTGCTGTGGTAGAATGAGATCTATTTAAAATGGGAAAAAGAAGGTCTGGTAAAAATACAGCATTGGAGAAATTGGCTGTGTCGGGTTGATGCTAATTGTGTCAATATATGAGATGGAAAGGGTGATATTGATGGAGTATATCTTCTAATGAGGTTGAAAGTTAACCAGGATTTAAACTGGGTCATATGGGGAAATGACAATACAGAAACATCTGGTGCAAAGGCAGCCTGTGAAATAAAGTTAACAGTACAGAGCTCATTCTCAGTCCGGCTGCTGCACCGGCAGGTGCCTGCCGTAGGGGAATGGCATCTGCATCGTAATCAGTTTAGAGTGTTAAATAACAGAAAGTCAGAAAAAATGCATTCGAGATGGCAGATTCAGGCAGAGGTAACGGCTCCGTTCTGTGGTGCTTCCTACCTTATCCTTTCTAATGGTTTATTTTCCCTGTAGGAGAGGATCCAGAAACTCGGCGGTTACGAACTGTGAAAAATATCGCCGATCTTCGACAGAACTTAGAGGAAACGATGTCCAGTTTGCGGGGAACCCAGGTCACTCACAGGTAATGGCATGACTTTGTTTATAAGAAAATGGAAATCCTTGTGCTTTTACTTTACATCTCTCAGATCTGGCTGGGTTGCATCCTTGAAGAATGATGAACACTGACAGTGGAAGCTACTGATCTTGTACTTTTTGTCTTTAAAGCACAGATTCTGAAATGTGTTGTGTGTTTATGGAGATGTACGATGAGTAATTGGTGGTGGCACATTGTATGTAGAATCAAAGGTGGAGAATAATCAGTGCTTGTTAAATGTGTTGGGTGATGTTTGAATATAGGTTACAGTTCAAAACGTTTCTTCATCTTACTCTTGAACAACTTTGGTGCATTACGCCCCTCTCCCCGTATGTGTAATATTTTGTTTAAATAAGCAGGTGAACTGAGCTTGACCCACTTGATAAAGTGCATAACTTGAATTCCTGACCAATCTTTGGACAAACAAATTTTTTTAATATTATTAGTCATCCATGTATATAACTGCTTTTTCTTTGTAAAGCAGCATTTATAAATCTTCAGTAATATTTAAAATATGCTCTAAATAAACAAAGACTGTTGTTACATTTAAACATTCTGTGGCTCAGATCTTTTCAGTGTTGAGGCTTGGGAGAATAGGCTGGTTGGCCCCGAAGGAGGTCGGGTCCTACTTAGTGCTCAGTGCCTGATGGACTGCAGCCCTAAATGAGTTCAGTGGGGGAACACTGTGTGTTTTGGCTTTGTATCTGAAACTGAGGCAGAGCTTGCAAAGATGAACTCCCAATGCTATTTTTCTTTTCAAGTTTCCATTAATGTGACAGCTTATTATGATTTAATTACTATAACTGCAGCATACATAGATTTTTGCAGCAGGTACATAACATTGTATTGTGAGCAGCACAATGCTGCTTATTTTAACAAATATCCACGATAAAAAAAGAAATAACACTATGTTAGTTGAGCAGGGAAGGAGAAGGGAGTTCATGTGGATAAAAGAAGTTGCAGCTATGGATTAGTTGCAACTAAGCTGCAAGTGTTCGGGGTGTAGTCTTGCAATCTGTACACATCGTCTGAAATCTCATGGTGCAGCAGTCCCATTTTTAAGGTTCCGTATAGCAGTCTACATTTAATCAAATGCATTTATTTTTTTTAAGCACATTGGAAACTACTTTTGACACCAGTGTCACTACCGAGATAAGCGGTCGCAGCGTTCTCAGACGGTACTAGCATTACTGTTGGAAGGGATGCAACATATTCACACGCTCAGACACGGAGAATGGAAGATTTAATATAGCTGACGCTTGTCAAAAACTGTCTTTACAGGCTGTGACCTACAATGCTTTTGTAACCAGAGCTCTGTGTAAATATTATCAATATATTGAAAAATATATTCAATTCATTAATATATAAAATAGATTTTGAAAAATAAATTTGCTTTGCCTCTCTTATTTTTTCATTTAATCCTTTCCTCAGTGTAGAAATAGCTGTCATCTTGGTGCTGGACTTGTCCCCAAAGCATTAAGACTTTCATGAATGCAGCCAAAAAAAGAAAATGTATCAGAAAAAGAGTACTTCAGTTGGTTTTCCTTTAGTCAGCTTAATATCCTACTCCCTTGCCTAGAGTGGCAAAACTGTGGTATAATAGAGCTATATACGATTGAAGATGAAAAAGTTATGCTTTTATACTGTGGATAATCCATTGAAAAGTTCCTGCTTAAGTCTTCTCACATATATGTTGAACACTTGGTGGCCTGGGTGCAAAGGTATCATTATTTAAGAACAGTGTTGGAGGAATGGACCTCTCTCAAGGCGTTGTAGCAGGTAAATCCTGTTAATGCTGTTACTTACAATCTGTAACTCGGTGAGTATTCAGGGTGTAGGGTCTTGCAATTACCTGAAATCTCACGGTGCTCTGTACAACAGGCCGCGTTTAATCAAATGCATTTATTTTTTTAAGCACATTGGAAACTACATTTGACACCAACGTCACTACCGAGATAAGTGGCCGCAGCATCCTCAGCTTGACGGGACGACCGACCCCCTTATCGTGGAGACTGGGGCAGTCCAGCCCCCGCCTGCAGGCAGGCGACGCTCCATCGATGGGAAACGGGTATCCTCCGCGAGGGAACGCCAGCCGCTTCATCAACACGGAGTCGGGACGTTACATGTATTCGGCACCTTTGCGGAGGCAACTAGCGTCCCGCGGTAGCAGCGTCTGCCATGTCGACATCTCGGACAAGGGAAGCGATGAAATCGATCTGGAAGGCATCACCATGGATGCCACCGGCTATATGAGCGATGGGGATGTGCTGGGCAAGAATATCAGAGCTGATGACATCACAAGTGGGTAAGTGCCTTCACTTTTCTTCTTAAATACTATACTTTATGTCATTCTTGCGTTGTGTTTAATGACACTGTATTCCTGTGATTATTTGGGGGGGCGACCAAGATATTCTGCTAGTTTTAATAAGCATGTCGAGTGGCAGCTTATTATCTCAGTGGGATTTAAGCACATAATTTAAGTTTTAAGTGCATGTTAAGAAAACATTCGTACATATGAACATACTCTTGCACATGATTAAATATTTTCCTGAGTCAGGGTTCATTGTAGTTGTCAAACACATGCTGCAACATTCATTTATGTCCACAAGATGGAGAGAGTGAGGTATTTTCTGTACTTTCACTGAACCCTTTTGCTGGCTGAACTTTTAGGGGGCAGTTCACTGGAAGGAAACGAGTTTACATCTCTGTGTAGGATAAAATAGTTGTACACGCAAAGTAAAGTCCAAAGAACAAGTTAGTGTGCAGAAATATGAAATGAGAGGCAATGACTAACAAGGTTTTACATCAACTCTTTACCGCTGCCTTGACTGGCAAAAGCATTTGTTCTTTGCTCCAAAGTCAGTATTCACTTCAATATGTCCGTTTTCAGTTCCTGGTAGAAAGTACAGTCATTTTTTCTTAGTTCAGGTACATCACCATTAGATTGATGTTAAAACTGATCTTTGAGATGTAAATGGCATATTTATTTTTGTGGCAGCCTTTTCCCATCTTACCCCCTTTGCTTTTCTGTAATTTTTTTATAAGTGACATTTCTTGTAGCATTGGCTTATTTGGAAGCTTTAGTGTCACTGAAACAGAAAGCTGGAATCCAGCTGCTGCTTTGAAACTAACTCAACCAGTTAAGTTATGCAGCCAGGAAACCCCCATTAATTCTGTCCGTTGTGAATATTTGGATGTTTTCACCCTGTCCTTTTTGAAAAGTTAGACACTTTATTTTTAATTCTTCATTAGGAAAAGCATATAGTAAAGAAGCTGATGCAAAAACCAGTGTAAAATTCTGTTTCAGATAAAGCACCAGTAGCTGTTGCTGCATTAATAATGCATCGTGTCACTAAAGCGCCTTGTGTTTTCCTCAAATAAATCAGCTTATAGCTGAGTTTTGCAATGTTTATTGTAGTAACAGTTATTGCTTTTCCTCTGGACTATGACTTTTATTCAAACTCGCGACTGTAGTTTTGGTCTAGAAGCAAGGAAAATAAATTCTGAGTAGCGCCATGGTTTCTATAAAACACCTAGAGTATGAGCTGAGAAGTGCCCCTGGCAGAATCGTGTCAGTTCAGGCTTCTGCTGCTCATATCCTAGAGGAGCCCCGGTCTTTGCAGATCTTTACTTAGTGCATAAAGTTCAGATTCCAGGTTGAGGGAAAGGAAGGAAGGAGAAAGCTGTTGAGTTTATGTATGATATTTCCAGAGAAATCTCTGTCTTCACTCATCTCTCTGTATCATTTCCTTTTCTGTGTCATCCCGTAGGGTAAAAAATGGAAGTCTCCATAGTCTGAAAATACAAGAGCGGTCTTTAGATTCTGGGTCTAAGGGACTAGTAATGTAATAATATATTTTTGCCAGTTGGTACCTCTGTCACCAAAGCAGTGAGTTATATACCAAGACTAATACTAAGGATGGTGAATATAACATTTAGCAGAAGAGTCATATTCCACAACAGCTCACTCCTAGCCTTGAGTGTTAGAACATCTTTAACTGAGTACCTGACTCTTATTTCCCATTCGTTTTTAAAGGAGGGAGATAACTTTCAGTTTTTGCTCGTATAACCTGCCACAGATTGATAAACGAGATCTCAATTTAAAGTTCTTAGGACAAGAAGAGTTATGTGTACAAATGCCTTTTTTTCCCCCACATCTTTTGCCTTTAGCTACAAAAGCCTATTTTGCTAAATAATGTGAGTTGGTTTGTTGATTTTTTTGTAGCACTGTTGCAGTCATTGACTAAGTTCCAAGGGCAGAATCTGTATTGTAGGTCGATCCATTGTCAGAAAGATCCAGCTCCATTTCCAGGTTGTGGGCAGGGTTTGGAGGTTGGGCGGCTTGGAGGTCCTCTCCTTGCTGCACCAGTGGGCATTTGGAGGGAGCGTTCCTGGAAGCAGCCCCACAAAGTTGGGGTTACATAGTCTGTGGAGAGTAATCGTGTGTGCGGGTTCCCTGAGAAGGGAGTATTGCAGTATTGAATTGCAATAACAATGTTGGCTATAATCCCAATATCAATGGAGAGAGATAAAAAAAAAAAAATGAGGGTGTTACCTTTGGTGAATCTCACTGACACCTAATAATGCTGGATTACCATCTCCAGTATGAACAGATGTTTTGGTAGCCTGTTTCATAAGTTATCTTCCCCAATGTCAGTTTATTCCCAATAATAAAAAAATAGGATAGCATTGTGTCTTTGAGGGAGAGGAATAATACACCGCTTAGAAATCGGAGAGGTTGCTTGTAAAGAAAGCATCCGTGTGACTTGCTGCAGAACAACTCTCTGAGATCAATTTTAGGGCGAACAGGCCCAATATTTCCAGAAGCTGGATTACAGTATGTGGAAAGCAGCACAAGAGGGCATTTATAGCATGAATAGCTCTTTATTAGCTGGTATGTGTTTCACTTTGTCATTTTTCAGAATTGCTACAGTCCTGCAGTCTGAAAACCTTGGATCTGTGTTTTCATTGGCAAACTGAAAGGGAAGGAAGCCAAAATATTTGTTACAACCAAAATAAATCCAATAGCCAAGATAAACTATTTTAGCCCTGTGATCCTGATGCTTTCTCTGAAATGTACTGGGTCATGGGAAGTTTCGTTTGGCCTCCTTTAATAAGTCTGCTCAAGCAGAGCTCTGGCAGACACCAGGATTGCTTTCATAGGGTTAGAAAGAGCATCTTTTCCAAATGGGCAGAAAATATCTCTTAAACTAAGAAAGCCTCCAGGGGGTGGATCAAAGGTAAGAAGTTGTCTTATTGTGGGAGCTAAAGCATCAACCGAACGACAAAGCAACTGGACTAGGGTATGTGTGAGGTGGGGAGTGGGCACCCAACCCACCTCCTCCAGCGGCTGGCTGAGCTCCAGGCTTCAGGGCCTCCTCAGAAAGTGGCACCTGAAAGCCCAGAACTGTCTCACCTATCCACCCCAAACATTGTCCCAGGTGGGACGTTAACTCTCACGGCTTTTTTTGGGTTTGTTGGGAAGGTTTTGTCCACTTCAGTCTCCCTCTAGCTACTAAGATACACATTCCTGCCTCTTTCCATCCTCCCCTCCCCACCCAGTTCTCTCTAATGAAATGTAGAGTTAATTTCCTTTTTATCTGTCCTTGGAATGAAGCAACAGAGGTGTTGGTCAGAAAGGTCTTTTAAAATTCTTTTCTTTTAACTTAATTAATCCTCTGCCCCTGTTTTCATTACCCCAGTGTGCAGCTTTCTGTGCAGAATTAACCGCGTGGATATACCGATTAGTGCTGGTCGCAAATTTTCTCAGGAAATGGCTTTGGGTCCGCAAATGCAGCTTGTCATAACAATTTTTTGCAGAAACATGGCTGTTCCAGCTATGTTCCAACAAAATGTAGATTTGATGATTTGACAGCTCAGCTGCCCGAGAGAGCCTGAACTTCAAGGCAGGGCAGATGTGAGCAGCCCCGTGCGTGGATCGTGGGTCTGCTGCCTGCCAGGCTGGGCTTTGGGGCATGCCCAGCTCACTCTTTCGAGCGTGTCTCATTCAGAAACGTTACCTAGTGACTCTCATCCCTCACTTCGCCAGCCCAGCAGTGAACTGCTCCCTCAGCTATTAGATGAGGACAGAAGGGCTCAGCCTGCATACGATGTTCAAGGGCCCTATGCTATTGCAGTGACCTTCCGCAGATGCAGTGGCTGTTGGGGGCAGGGAGACTTTTTACTGTTTTATTAACCTCCCCATTTATTTGATGCTTTGGGGCCAATACATTTCCATTCCAGATCTCTATTTCCACAACCTCTTAATGCATTTGTGTGCGCGATGCTCATGGGATTATGATTCTTTCTTGTTTATTCGAGCCTTTACGCTCCCCGGAGATCTTTCTATGAGCACTACAAGCAGGTGAACATGGCTAAAAGGATGCTAAAAGGGAGAGCAGACCACTCTGGGCTGGGGAATCGGGCTTTAACCCCTGCTTCTGCTCAGGTCCGTCAAACCCACACAAAAGCATTGTGCCCTAGGTAGAAACCACCTTTGTGGTGCAGAGGCCTGTCTGCCCTTCAGTAACATGGACCAAAACCATCATTGAAGTAGAGTTCTGTTGTAGGCTGAAATTTAGGAGTTGCATCTATTACGAGGCAAAGAAGAATTTGATATGAAGAGCTGAAATTGAGGACTAATTTAATTGCGTGTTGAAGTGTAATTTATATTTGTAGGATTCTTGCGGCTCGGTTGCTTGATTTTGTTCTATTTATCAGTCAGACAGTGACGCATCTTTTTCAGATGTCAGGCTCATACGTGGCATAACAGACCTTCACTTGGGCTAAGGTTTTAGAGAAAGGAAAGGAGGAGTATGCAGTTCGCTGGTAATAAGAATTTGCTCTTGGTAACAGTAGTTAAGAGAAACTTGTTTCTTTCTAAGCTGTCTGTAACAGGAATGGCTGCTGCTCCAGGTGACGTGTGGCTAGCTGGAAATAAGAGTGGCTGAGCTAATCATGGCCTGAATGAGAACCTGTTCACCCTGTACATCGATTCAATGCTAGCCTATTTTTTGCCATGGTGATGACCACTGCATTTTTTCTGTACACTTTGAGTTACAGTGGGTTAGTCATTTAACTGGACATTGCTCTTTAAATGGTATGATTTTAGCGATAAGACTTCATCTAAATACACTGGATGGCTGAAACTGCATTCCTTATGTGGCTATAACACTTCAATGTGACTAAGAATTATTAGGAGGTTTATTTTATTTTTCTTCTGTGTTTGAGCAGAGTGTTTATTTGAACTGCCTTCTGTCTTGCTGGGACTGGCTTCTTGCATTTCGATCTTTTCAACATTGTGGA